CCCTACTAGGGATGGAGCCCGCAACCCGGGCCTGTGCCCTGACCGGGAATGGAACCGTGACCTCCTGGTTCATAGGTTGTTACTCAACCACTGAGCCACGCCGGCCGGGCAGGCCCTGGCTTTGAGAGGGCCTCTGCGTGTAGATGGCTGTGCCCGTGTGTGGCCGTGCAGGTCCCCATCCTGACACTTACACGTGTCGGTTTAGGGAGGCGCTGTTGACACGACCTCCGCTGAGCCCCAGTTCCGCTCGCCTTATCCATTCAATCCTCCTTTGGTGACGGGAAGCGCATCGCCCCCGGGACTTCTCCCGGCCAGGTCCCGCCCAGGCCCGGCCCATGGATTGGGCGCCGGGGGCCGCTTGGTCCCAGGGTGGGCCTCTCGGAGTGGGCGGTCTCTGCTACGTTCCTCCTCTTCCTCTGCAGGCCATTTTGTCAGCTGTTACGTTGATCAAGTTGCTGCTGAGCTGCCCGGTCAGCGAGGAGCAGGCGAGTCTGTTCTGGCGGACGAGCCCCCAGATCGTCACGGCTCTGACGGTGCGTGTGGGCCCCCCTGCACCCCCCCGTCACCCCTCTTCCCGCCCAGACCAAGGGCGGAGCGTCCTCGTCACTTCCACCTGCCCACTGACCCCATCGACACCGTTGGCAGTTGGGACACCCTGACTTACGCCACCTCCGTTCTTACCTCTGCCTGCTTCAGGCTTTGTTGTTGCTCCTTCTAGAATCACCTTCCTTTTCTTCCCTCTATTCCAGTGGTTCTCAACCTTCCTAATGCCGCCACCCTTTAATACAGTTCCTCATGTTGTGGTGACCCCCAACCATAAAATTATTTTCGTGGCTACTTCATCACTGTCATGTTGCTACTGTTATGAATCGTCATGGAAATATCTGATAGGCAGGATGGATTTTCATGGTTACACATTGAACATCATGAAAGCATCGTGATGAATCCCAAAAACAATATGTAATTATATGTGTGTTTTCCGATGGTCTTCGGCGACCCCTGTGAAAGGGTCGTTCGACCCCCGAAGGGGTCTCGACCCACAGGCTGAGAACCGCCGCTCTGTTCCTTCTCGTCCCGTAGCTGCAAAACCGAGAGGCGTGTCAGGAGCAGCCCGCGGCCTTGGCGGTGGTCGAGCCCATCCTGGACGTCCTGGCCTTGCTGCTGCGCCGGGGGGAGGAGGCCATCCGCAACCCGCACCACGTCAGCCTGGCCTTCAGCATCCTGCTGGCCGTGCCGCTGGACCACCTGAAGCCGCCGGAGTTCGGGCGCGTCTTCCCGCGGGTGCACAGCGTGCTCTTCACCGTCCTCCAGTGTCACCCCAAGGTGAGGGGCCGGGGCCAGCAGCCTTGCCCCCCCCCCCTTTTTTTTAATGTGTTTTTATTGATTTCAGAGAGGAAGGGAGAGAGAAAGAGATAGAAGCCTCAGTGATGAGAGAGAATCACGGATCGGCTGCCTCCCGCACGCCCCACGCTGGGGATGGAGCCCGCAACCCGGGCCTGTGCCCCGACCGGGAATCGAACCGTGACCTCCCGGTTCACAGGGCAACGATGAGCCCCTTTCTGAGAGAGAAGTGGAAATCGGCGATGACGCTCCTGTCTTTCTTTGGCCCGTGTTCATTCCAGGTGATGCTGAAAGCCGTCCCCTCCTTCCTGAACTGCTTCCACCGGTTGGTGTTTTCGGTGATGCACGAAGGCCGGCAGAAGGATAAAGGTACTTCAGCTACCCCAGGGCTTCCCCTCTCTCTAAAAATCAACAAACCTTTTTTTTTTTTTAATATATTTTATTGATTTTTTTACAGAGAGGAAGGGAGAGGGATAGAGAGTTAGAAACATCAATGAGAGAGAAACATCGATCAGCTGCCTCCTGCACACTCCCTACTGGGTATGTGCCCGCAACCAAGGTACATGCCCTTGACCGGAATCGAACCTGGGACCCTTGAGTCCGCAGGCCAATGCTCCATCCACTGAGCCAAACCGGTCAGGGCCAAACTGTTCTTTAAAAAAGAAAAAGCAAGCTGGAAGACACTAGTAATGGGGTTGCCTGTATCTGCCTGTAAGAGAAAAACCCTGCACAATTTCTGAAACTTTGTAAGGAGGCAATGACACGACTGAGCCCCTCTTATCTTTAAAAATCACATGTCAAGCAGCACTTTAAAAGAATTTCCCCTTTTCCCCGTTTTAAGCCTTCCTGGTAGAGATCCGTCTCCTTTTAAAATACAACAGCCATTCCTGACTTCAGCCTGAAAGTCCTGATTATTCTCGGCAGCCTCAGGAAACAGCCACGGGCTCCTGAGTATTCTAACTGTCCTTCCCTTCGTTACGTAGCGAAATGTTTGGACATACGTGTCCCCCCCCCCCCCCGCCCCCCCCCCAGTCCTGTCTGCAGAATGAGCTGATTAGAGAGTGGAGGGGGGGCGCTGTGAGGAACGCGGGGTGGCAGGGACCCTGTGAGATGAGGAGGGGGGGGCGCACACGCGGAAGGGGGGGGCTGGCGGGTTCGGACACGCTTTGCCGTGCAGGCGGCGCGGAGGACCTGGCGGGGGTGCTGGCGTGCGCCCGCCTGGTGGAGAGGATGTACAGCCACATCGCCGCCCGGGCCGAGGACTTCACCGTGTTCTCCCCCTTCATGGTGGCCCAGTACGTGTCGGAGGTGCAGAAGGTAAGCCGGCTCCCCGCCTTTTATTGATTTCAGAGAGGGGGAGAGAGAGAGAGAGAGAGAGAAACTTCAATGATGAGAGAGAATCATGGATCGGCTGCCTCCTGCACGGCCCCTAGTGGGGATCGAGCCCGCAACCCCGGGGGCATGTGCCCTTGACTGGAATTGAACCCGAGACCCTGCAGTCCCCAGGCCGATGCTCTAGCCACTGAGCTGCACCAGCTAGGGCCAGAGTCCAAATGTCACTGCCCCTGTAAACACATAGGCCTCGTGTGTTTATTTAGTTGAAGGTACCCCCTGTGACGCTTCATTCCAGGCTTTTGTGCACTTGAGTTGGCTTCTGTTTCCCCAAACGATAAACTTTCAAGATGGGCGTGTGCAGCTATGTCAGCTGTGTGCAAAACGGTGTTTTAAAAGGAGCGTCTTTCTCAAGTTGGGTGCAGACGTGGGAATTCCTCGCCGGGCCTGCCTTTGCGGCCCGGCCCCGCCCGCCCGCGCGCTCACGGGGTGTGTCCTTTCCCAGGTCACCTTGTACCCGGCCGTGAAGGGCCACCTGCAGGAGGGCATCTACCTCATCCTGGACCTCTGCATCGAGCCCGACGTGCAGTTCCTGCGCGCCTCGCTGCCGCCGGGAGTGCGGGACGTCTTCAAGGAGCTGCACAACGACTACGTCAAGTACCACCGAGCGAAGCACGAGGGCGAGAGGCGGTACGCCGTCTAAGGACACGCGGAGAGAGGCGGTGCACCGTCTAAGGACATGTGGGAGAGGCGGTGCGCCGTCTAAGGACACGTGGGGAGAGGCGGTACGCCGTCTAAGGAACATGCAGAGAGAGGCGGTACGCCGTCTAAGGACACGCGGGGAGAGGCGGTACGCCGTCTAAGGACACGCGGAGAGAGGCGGTGCGCCGTCTAAGGACATGTGGGAGAGGCGGTAGCAGGAAGACCTGGCGAATGAAAGGCTTCAGATGTTCAGTGGGAAATACGTGGATTATTTAACATGTGCATTGTATTTGACACCCATGCTTTTCACACCAAATGTTTTTCACACATACCTTTTCATGCAGTAAGTACTGCAATAGCGTCCCGAAAACACACCTTAGAACGAGGTGGACTCAGTGAACAATTGCCCAGCCCCTCGTCGCCATTCCAGGTGTGGTTCTTGCCTCCGTCCCTTCTCCCCACCAAGAACTGTGTAGAACTTGTAATTAAAGTCCTATTAAAATATCTCTGCCTCTGCCCTAGCCAGTTTGGCTCAGTGGATAGAGCGTCGGCCTGCGGACTGAAGGTTCCCGGGTTCAATTCCGGTCAAGGGCATGTGCCTTGGTTGCTGGCACATCCCCAGTGGTGGGTGTGCAGGAGGCAGCCGATCGATGTTTCTCTCTCATCGATGTTTCTAACTCTCTAGCCCTCTCCCTTCCTCTGTGTAAAAAGTCAATAAAATATATATTTAAAAAATATATCTCTGCCTCACTGTCCAGCGTGGCTCAGTGGACGAGCGTCAACCTATAAACCAGGAGGTCAGGGTTCGATTCCGGGTCAGGAAAATGGGCTTGCGGGCTCGATCCCCAGTGTGGGGCGTGCAGGAGGCAGCCGATCCATGATTCTCTCTCATCATTGATGTTTCTATCTCTCTCCCTCTCCCTTCCTCTCTGAAATCAATAAAAATGTATTGGTGCTTTTTTTCCCCTTCATTTTATTCTTAATCTATTTGTTTTTTAATTTAAATTCTCTGTTGTTCAAAGTATTACATAAAGTCTCCTTTTCCCCCCATCGACCTCTCCCCGGCCGCTCCCACCCCCAGCACGTGCCCTCACCCCCAGTTGTCTATGTCCGTTGGTTATGCTGTGGGGACGGTGCATTGGAGCAGCAGGCGACCTTTTCAAGGACACAGGTGTTGACAGAGCTGGAATCCAGGTCGTCTCTTTGTTTCTCCCTTCGGGTCCTGCTCTCAGTCGCCCTCCTGAGATCCTGCTGGTGTTTTCGCTGCTGGGAGTTCAGGAAGGCGGGAGTCTGGCCGGGACCCCTCTCCCCAGCTTTTGGAATGTCCCTGGGGCGCAGACAAGCACGGAGCAGTCCCCCAGGTGCCCTGATGGTGGCACTGCAGGGCCGCGCTCAGGGCCCAGGGCTGCTCTGAACAGGGAGCTCAGATCAGATGCCTTTTTTTTTTTTTTTGGGGGGGGGGGGGCGGACTGTAGTTTAAAAGTTTATTAGAGCCCTAACCGGTTTGGCTCAGTGGATAGAGCGTCGGCCTGCGGACTGAAAGGTCCCAGGTTCGATTCCGGCCAAGGGCATGTACCTTGGTTGCGGGCACATCCCCAGTAGGAGATGTGCAGGAGGCAGCTGATCGATGTTCCTCTCTCATCGATGTTTCTAGCTCTCTATCCCTCTCCCTTCCTCTCTGTGAAAAATCAATAAAATATATTTTTAAAAAAAAGTTTATTAGAAAAAGATTTGGGGAAATGTAATC